GATACAGATAGCTCTGTGGCACAGATAGCTCTGTGGCAGTATGTTGGTCATTTAATGCCATATTTTCTTTGTTCAAAAATCAATTTATCTACAGATCATAAGTTAACTAAAGGATTATTTCAACTAATTGTGAACTTAGAGAATATTTTTAAGGTTCAGTAGTATAATTCTCCGGTTTTTAGCTCATTATCTCAAATAATGTTAAATGTTAATTATGTAAAAAACAAATACAAAACATTTATAGTACATATTAGAAGGAACCTTAGAAATCATCTTATTCGATCCCCAACTCCATATTCCCATCTGTAATGTTCTTGACAACTAAGTAATCTAACCTTCTGAATCATTTTATTATTTGGCTTGGTTTTAGAGTCAGTCTCATGCTGCATACCCTTGTATCTGTTGAGTTTTTTTTAAGTGTTTCTTCTCAGTTGTTAAATCCAGAATAAGATATTACCTGGATGATATACTCTGTCTTCTCTTGAATTGTGCACTGGGTGAGAGTTAGGTATATATGTTTGTACATTGTGTATGGTATATATAGGTTTAAATGCTGCAGTAATTTTAGACATAGTATTTCAGTTAATTAAGATTTGTTTTGCAGTTAGACTGACAGTTGTGAATGGTTTTCTCTTCTTGACCTAATCTCATACATTACTAACTGAAATTGTCATGTGTTCTCAAGGATAATTTAAATGAACATAGGGTTTGTGAAAACCTGACAGATCCTAACTATAACTCAGCTAGTAGGCAAATTATAATTTATTTATAGTGGTGTAACATAGCTATTAATGAACTAATATACAATGAGGACAGATTGTACTATATTTTTGCATGAAATTATACTATACAACAAAGGTTGGCATTATGTGATAAGTACCCACAAAATGTTAACCTACTTGCAGTAAATACAATTAATAATATACATAAAAGAATGAAATTAAGCTAATTTTCTATCAGAAAAGAATTGTTCATGAACAGAAAGTGGACAGCATAGATTTGATGACAGGAAGGTTGTATCTAATCTGAATTACTGAGTGACCTAGGAAGCTTGCTCAGAGGGATTACAGAATAATTATGTTAATATACAATTATCACCTCATTTCTTCTGTAGTAACCTCAAGATGTAGTGTAGTGAGGGTGTTATAGCAAGTGCTGATAGTTTGCAAAAATACTGATGTTTGAGATTTCTAAGACAATAAGTCTAGCTTGAGGCATATAAGTGATGATCTGTCATCTTGAAGACAGATCTGACCTTTGTGCAGTTTTTTAATGCTCACAGTATATAACTAGAGGCAGTAATAGCTGTAGAACTCATTATGATTTTCCAGAAATTGAAATATATTTTATGTAGATTTAAAGTTCTGTTTGCAGCTCTTTAAAAAGGTGTGTGAATTCTTTTAAGAACATTTTAAAATTCACTTAAAAGAAGAATTCTATGATTTTATGGGGAAGATTTAGTAATAGTGTCTAAACATTGTTTAAAAATCTTGATACAGCTAATTCATTGAATCATTGAATTAAAATTTAGGGAGTGCAAGCATCCATTTATTTATTTTAATTTATTAGCTTCTGTTTTTAAAACTTAATGAATAATGCCTACCTTCAAATATGTTCCTACTTTGTTATAGTAACCTAAACTGGTATTGATGTCTCTGTTATATATACATTTGACTATACAAAGGTAGTTGAAAAATTATTTGAGATAGTGTACATTAACTCAGGTCAAATGCTTTCTTGCCTAGATGCCACATAACCCAACATGAATGTAGTAAAATAATTTTTGATGATGTTAAAATTCTGTATCCATTACTCAATGCAACAGATTTTGATGATCCATTGTTCTGTATTGTATCTCAATACAACAGCTATGAGTCTTAAGTACTATTACTAAGAAAAAGTATATTTGAGGCATTGTATAATTAGAATATATTCTGAACATTTTAATTGTTCTTAAAGTAGGTACCCACACAACATTAACCTATTTTTAGTAAATACAGTTAATAATGTACATAAAGGAACAAAATTAAGCTAATTTTCTCCAGTAAAGAATTATTCATGAACAGAAAGTGGACAGTATAGATTTGATGACAGGGAGATTGTATCTAATCTGAATTACTGAGTGACCTAGAAAGCTTCCTTGCTGAGTCAACTTTTGTAGATGCAGAAGATAATGTCTTTTATTTTGGGGTAGAGATAATTATTAATTTGGGGGTAAGTAAGCTATATTTTGTTATGTGGATGTGAAGGAAAACTTTCATTGTTGAAGACTTCATTTTATATTTTAATAATATTTAATCTGATTTTTTTTGTTAGATGTGTTTTGTAGATAAAATACCTGTTATGCACATTTTTTTTTTTATGTTTTTGAGCAAAACAGTTTGATATCTTCAGAATGTGAACTTACAAAAAGCTCTTATAGAGCTGTTCTGGTAATGAGGATGCAGTCTCCAAGCTGATATGATGTTCTCATAGTTTGTCACCCTGCTGTTCAGGGGGTACCAATGAAGTTGCTTTAAATGGGAAGCGTCTGTTCCATCTCTAAACCTCTAACACCAGAACAGATGGGTGGGACATAGAACATGGAAGGTTTTACCTCTGAGATGGTAACAGTGAAGCCACTCATTAACACTGAATTTACCACTTCGTTAGCAACATCGCTTCCTGTTGAGAAAAACTAATATAGGCTTTCAAATTCACTGAGCATATATTTGTCTACCTCTGTGATTATAATAAGTGGGAATGGAAAGGAAAGTAACTGTCTTTCAAGCTAGTTTTTTTTTGTCGTTCATTTCAGATTTATGAGATTGTTGCTATTGAAGCATTTTACATTTTCTACCTAATTTAATGAGAAATATCAGGAATGAATAATAGTGTAGCATTAAGGTTTGCTTTTCTTTCCCTTGACATTTGCACACCCTTTCCTAACACATGTTTATGTGCTGCCCATTTTTAACTTCTGTGTATGTGATGTAGAGACTCCTGCTGGGTGATGCATTAGCACCATTTTGGAGTGATAACATTGAATGTGATCTTATTGGAAGTCTATTTTTATTACCACAGAAGTTTGCCAATCTCAAAACAGAATTCTAAAACCTATGAGGGATGGAAAAATGATTGTTGGTATAAATAAGAATGTCAAAGTATAGTAATAGATATTTGTTGTATTAAAGAACACATTTTATGGAAAGAATAAGTGCTTATTCTAAGTTATAAAATAAGGGAAAAGTAAGAACAATTTTATTATCTTGAATTAGATTTACTGTTTTACAAAGCATGAAATCGGTACCCTTAAAGAATAGTAGAAATATTGAACTTCATTGAAGAGGTTTTGATTTCTAAATGTTTTAGATTGTAAGGACCCATTGCCCTAAAGTAATATTACTTGTTATACAAATTAAAAATACTATAAAAGAAACATGTGAAGGCTTCATTCTTTATCTGAGAGAAGGAAGCTAACCTGTCTTGTTTACCATTGTGTCCATAATACAGGATCAGTGTATGCCACAACTATTTAGTAAATATTTGGAGAATGAATAAAGTACAAAACAGGAAAAGAAATATGGAAACTTAAGCCAATTTTTCAATTAGTTAATACCTGGGGTTACCAAATAGCAGGTTCATTCAGTTGTACATGAGTGTTATTGGATATTTTGAGGACCTTATTATAATTACTGAGTTAATAAATCAGAACCTGATGGAACTTGTATTTGAACAGGGTATCCAAATTTCATAGGAACAAAATTCTTACACTTTAGAAACTTTTACTTTGATTTTGAAATTGTGTTTTTCTTATTCCAATACTTATTCAGTCTTTTATTCAACAAATATTGCCTAAGCACCTATGCCAAGTGATGCACTAGGTTCTAGAGATATGATAATAACTAGATTGCATTCCTAGCCCTCAAGGAGCTGACATTCTTTGAAGAAGACAGACACTTCCAATGTGGCCATTTCTAAGAACAGGAAAAGAGCAGGGTGCAAGGGAACTTTTCATAGTAAGGGCAGTCATTACAGTCATGGTATGAATGGATCCCAAACATTCAGAAATACTCTTTCCTTTAAAATATTGTACTGTTTTCTCATAATTATTAAATATCTTACCAAAAATGCCTAGAAAAGTTTTATCTACATTTTATATGAAATAAATTTAAAACATATGTTTATGCTATTTTATTGTAAAATGTGTTAGGCCATTGCATTAGACTACCAGGTCATAAATGGATAAATGCTTTTAGAGAATGCCTATAATTTGGGGTCTCACATATGAAAGTTTGACATGAAACTTCATTAATTTTAACTTTAGTAAAGTTAAAATTTACTAAAATTTAGTTGACTTTACTAAAGTTAAATTATGGTTAAGGTTAATTTGAATAAGGAATGAACCAATCTATGAATAAAGCATATTTACAATTGATAGAATGTCGGGAGAGTATTAGGCATCTTGAGAGCAAAGCAGTGTTTTAAAAAGTACTATTTCATACATAAAACACTGATGGTGATAGCAAATATATTCATTCAAATAAAGTTATTTACCGAATAGTGTTTTGTTCCCTTCCTTCAGAAATGAACTTTTAAGTGACAAATCTTTCACTTCTCTGCAATATTGATAGTTTAAATTATTCTCTATAGAGTAGAGTGACTGCCTCTTAAGTCGAATAATTTTCTTTATATTAGCCATCTCTATATGAGGTTTAAAATTTTTTCAGTCTGTAGCATATTTACATTGTGTGTGTCTGTGTGTGTGCTGCTTTTCTCTAGACATTTTGTGTATATGACGTATTGGATTGTTGTTGCTTAGCATGAAGAACAATATTAACCTTTGAGGTGCTTCTTAAATATTCCAGTGTTTGTGTTCTTTCAGTCTTGGAAAATTATTAGGATCTCAATATAAAGAATAGAAAATTAAACTAATAAAAATATGTACTTTCAACTCTCCATACATTCAAATAGTATTTTTTCTTTCATGCAAATCTAAATTTCTTTTTTCCGTTTTCTAGACTAAATGTGTTAAATGGGCTTGCCAACAATATGGATGATTCGAAGATAAACACCGATATTACTGGTGCTAAAGAAGAACTCCTAGATGACAACAATTTTATCTCAGACAAAGAGAGCGGAGTTCATAAACCAAAAGATTGTCAAACATCATTTCAGAAAAATAATAAATTGACTCTGCCCGAAGAACTGTCAGAGGACAAATCTGAAAACGCCTTAAGTGGAGGCCAGTCTAGTCTGTTTATACGTGCTGGTTCTCCTATTGTTTCTAGTGAAAACTTTATCTTGCCTAAAGGAGCTGCTGTTAATGGACCAGTTTCACACTCCTCCTTAACTAAGACTTCCAATATGAATAAAGGCAGTGTTTCATTAACCACTGGACAGCCTGTGGATCAGCCAGCAACAGAATCTTGTTCAGCATTGAAGGTAGCAGCTGATCTTCAGCTGTCTACGCAGAAAGCAAGTCAACACCAAGTTTTATTTTTGTTATCAGATGTAGCACATGCTAAGAATCCCACCCATTCCAATAAAAAACTACCTACCTCTGCTTCGGTTGGTTGTGACATTCAGAATTCAGTAGGGAGTAATATAAAGTCAGATGGCACTTTAATAAATCAAGTAGAGGTGGGTGAGGATAGTGAAGATGTATTGGTAAAAGACGATTGTGTCAATACATTAACAGGAATTTCCTCAGGTACAGATGGATTTAGGTCAGAAAATGATACAAACTGGGATCCCCAAAAAGAGTTCATTCAATTTCTTATGACTAATGAGGAAACAGTAGATAAAGCTCCACCTCATTCTAAAGTAGGTCTAGAAAAAAAAAGAAAGCGAAAAATGGATGTAAGTAAGATAACTCGTTATACCGAGGATTGCTTTAGTGATTCTAATTGTGTACCTAATAAATCAAAAATGCAAGAAGTAGACTTTCTAGAACAGAATGAAGAGCTGCAAGCTGTAGACTCACAGAAATATGCATTATCAAAAGTGAAGCCTGAATCAGCTGATGAAGACTTAGAATCTGTGGATACTTTTCAACATCTAATTTATAACTCAGATAAGTGTGGAGAAGAGAGTTCACCTGTTCATACTAGCACTTTTCTTTCAAATACCTTAAAAAAGAAATGTGAAGAGAGTGATTCTGAGTCACCTGCTACTTTCAGTACCGAAGAGCCATCATTCTACCCCTGTACAAAGTGCAATGTGAATTTTAGGGAGAAGAAGCACCTCCACAGGCATATGATGTATCATTTAGATGGGAATAGTCACTTTCGTCATCTTAATGTTCCAAGGCCATATGCTTGTAGAGAATGTGGACGGACATTTCGAGATCGCAATTCACTTCTAAAACATATGATTATTCACCAAGAGAGAAGACAGAAGTTGATGGAGGAAATTCGTGAATTGAAAGAACTTCAGGATGAAGGAAGAAGTGCACGATTACAGTGTCCTCAGTGTGTGTTTGGTACCAATTGCCCTAAAACATTTGTGCAACATGCTAAAACCCATGAAAAAGATAAAAGGTACTACTGCTGTGAAGAGTGTAACTTCATGGCAGTGACAGAAAATGAATTAGAATGCCATCGAGGCGTTGCACATGGGGCAGTGGTAAAATGCCCTATGGTCAATTCTGATATAACCCAGAGAAAAACACAAAAAAAGACTTTCATGAAAGACTCTGTAGTAGGAACGTCAAAAAAATCGGCTACCTACGTATGTAAGATGTGTCCTTTTACTACTTCAGCCAGAAGTGTTTTAAAAAAGCACATGGAGTACTTGCATTCATCATCATGCGTTGATTCATTTGGCAGTCCTCTTGGACTTGATAAAAGAAAAAATGACATCCTTGAAGAAACTGTAGATAGGGATAGCACTAAACCATTAAGTAAACAACAGTCAACCACATTTCCAAAGAACTCTGCTTTAAAACAAGATGTGAAGCGAACATTTGGATCAACCTCACAATCAAGTAGTTTTTCAAAAATCCATAAGCGGCCACACAGAATACAGAAAGCTCGGAAAAGCATTGCCCAGTCAGGTGTAAACATGTGCAATCAAAACAACTCTCCCCATAAGACTGTTACAGTTAAAAGCAGCATTGACCAAAAACCCAAGTATTTCCATCAAGCAGCAAAAGAAAAATCTAATGCCAAGGCAAATAGCAACTATTTGTATAGACACAAATATGAAAACTACAGGATGATCAAAAAATCAGGTGAATCATATCCTGTGCATTTCAAAAAAGAAGAAGCTAGTTCATTAAATTCTTTACACCTGTTTTCATCATCAAGTAATTCTCACAATTTTATTTCAGACCCTCATAAACCTGACACCAAAAGGCCTGAAAGCTTCAAAGATCACAGACGTGTAGCTGTAAAGAGAGTAGTTAAGGAATCTAAGAAAGAAAGTTCTGTTGGAGGGGAAGACTTGGATAGCTATCCAGATTTTTTGCATAAAATGACTGTTGTTGTTTTGCAAAAACTTAATTCTGCTGAAAAGAAGGATAGTTATGAAACAGAAGATGAAAGTTCCTGGGATAATGTTGAATTAGGAGACTACACTACACAGGCCATTGAAGATGAAACCTATAGTGATATTAATCAAGAACATGTAAATTTATTCCCTCTATTTAAGAGCAAAGTGGAAGGTCAGGAGCCTGGAGAAAATACTTCTCTTAGTTATGACCAAAATGATGGCTTTTATTTTGAATATTATGAAGATGCTGGAAGTAATAACTTTTTGCATGAGATACATGATCCTCAGCATTTAGAAAATGCAGAAACTTCATTGTCAAAGCATAGTTCTGTTTTTCACTGGACTGATTTGTCTCTTGAGAAGAAATCATGTCCTTACTGTCCAGCGACATTTGAAACAGGTGTTGGGTTATCAAATCATGTCCGGGGCCATCTTCACAGAGCAGGATTAAGCTATGAAGCCCGTCATGTTGTATCACCAGAACAAATAGCCACAAGTGATAAAATGCAGCATTTCAAGAGAACTGGCACAGGAACACCTGTTAAGCGAGTTAGAAAAGGTAAGTTCTCCATGGGAATGATTTGGTCTAATAGGTCTGTGTTCTAATTCAGAGGATTTAAAAGTTTTGTTTGAATTTGGACTTTATTAGAATCATATAATTTTATGTTTCAAAATTAACTCATTTTAGGGTGGTCAGTTTATTTAAGAAATTCTGATACTACTCTTAAAAATTTTTTTTTAGCTATAGAGAAGTCTGAAACCACTTCTGAACACACTTGTCAGCTCTGTGGTGGTTGGTTTGATACTAAAATTGGATTATCAAATCATGTTAGAGGCCACTTGAAAAGACTTGGAAAGACCAAATGGGATGCTCACAAATCTCCAATCTGTGTTCTGAATGAGATGATGCAAAATGAAGAAAAATATGAAAAAATCTTAAAGGCATTGAACAGTCGTCGTATTATTCCCAGACCATTTGTAGCTCAAAAACTTGCGTCAAGTGATGACTTTATATCTCAAAATGTTATACCTCTTGAAGCATACCGAAATGGCCTAAAGACTGAAGCTCTGTCAGTGTCTGCATCAGAAGAAGAAGGGCTGAATTTCTTAAATGAATATGATGAAACAAAACCAGAACTGCCCAGTGGAAAAAAGAATCAGTCTCTTACACTCATAGAACTTCTTAAAAATAAAAGGATGGGAGAAGAAAGGAATTCTTCTATTTCTCCTCAAAAGATCCATAATCAGACAGCAAGAAAGAGATTCGTTCAGAAATGCGTTCTTCCATTAAATGAAGATAGTCCGTTGATGTATCAGCCACAAAAAATGGACTTGACTATGCACTCAGGTAAGAGGACGTTTATGACTATCCTATACACAGTTTAAATGCATTCAATTATGCTTTCTTTAATGGAATATATGTGGAAAATACTTTCTCACAATCTTCTTGCTTAAGCTGCTTTTTTTTTTACAGAGCACAGATTGGTTATTCTGTCATTTCTGTATAACTCATCAGTTGAGGTTCCTTAGCACTGAGTTCTCTGTGCCTCTTTTCTTGGTCTGAATGTAAGGTGAGAACAAAAGCAAAAGAAAACCACACACATACACATACAAAAACAACAAACAAAAAGCTGATCTGTAAAAATAAAATTTGCTGTGGCTGGAGGATGATTGCGAATGGGAGGTTGGTGTTCGAAAGCACAGTGTTATTGAAAAGGCATACCTCTGTCGTATTTTTGCCAGTGCTCCAAGGTGATCATGTTTTCAAGATTTAGCTGTTGGTTTTTCCACTGCTTAGTTGAAACAAAACAGACTCTTAAAGCTGAGTGGATTGGTATCTGTTGTGATTAACCTAAAGAAGCATCTCCTTTCTCCAATTCCTTATTGTATTGTGGGATAGTTTGGTTTTGGAGAACAGTTGTGAACATAAAACATATTTGTTTGGGGTTTTAGGTTTTAAAATAGTGCTCTAATGGAACAGAACAGATGATTTGGCTTAGTACTTGTATACCAATAGTTTTTCCTTTGGGAAGGAATATTTTGTGTGTATTGGCAAATAATGTGGCAGATAAAGTAGCCAAACTTTATTCATTATTGCCAAGTCTGGTTTATACTTTTAGATTAGAAAAATTTTAAGTGTCTTTTCTAGATTCCTTTTTGAAGATTAAGAATGTTAAAGGTTTATGTAATTGGTCTCATTAGAGATGTAAGTTGAATGTGTCTGAGGTAATAGTAAATGGATTAATAATGAATAAAATGACTGTAATGTTGTTTATTTGCTTTGGGGTAGACATTGTCATATCCCAAATAGTTGTAATGCAATTTTGATTTAAGGAAAGATTACTTTGTATTGTAAGTGGTCTGGAAAACAATTTATCTTACATGAGGTTCTGTTTAATACAGCTTTTTCTTTTGAATAAAGAGTCTCTGAAAGTCATTAGCTTTCAGTATTCTTTCAGAAGGATAAAACGCAGGGATGATGTGTTAGCTGTGTTGACCAAGGCGTAGTATACTTCAGAGATGGAAAGCATATTTGTGGCTGTCACAGTAATGCTGAAGAAATCAATTGAAACGTGTTGGGGGAGTGAGGATTGTTTGAGAAGTGAGGAGTTTTTTATTGTTGAACATGTTTTCTTTCCTGTGATGACTAAGATGTTAGCTTGTTGATCATTTATTTAGCACAAAGATTTTAGCAAAAAACTTCAGATCATTAACTTTCATTATTGATTGCGCATTCAGAGTAATGAACATAAAATACCCTGGATAAAATGTTGTGTCTAACAGCTGTTCAGTGGTGTGTTTTACCACCTTTTCTCCCAGCCTTCATCAGAAAACCTAATTTAGTATTGAGACTTTTACGGTTTTGTGGGTAAAACACTTTAATTACCACTTTGTCAACTAGACTTTTAAATTCTTTTTATTGGTAATGTTGTAAGCTTTGAAACTTCTCAACAGAACCATGGTGTTCAAATCACAGGATTGCATTTTCGTAGGTTTAAGAAATAATCTGCGTAACACAGAAATCTGCAAGAAAGTGATAATAGGTGTTATATCCAGAGGAGCTCAAAGGTTTAAGTCACTCCTCTTCTACCTTTCCAAAGAGCATGAGATAGCTGTAAATACTAACTACAAACTAATAACAGTTAATTTCCCCGCCTTATTTTACGTTAATCTATTTCATTGAACGTTTTTAAAACCATCTTTATTGTGGTGCTTTTCTACACTCTTTAAGCTAAGAAAATTTCACTTCTTGAAGTGAGAACTGGATTATAGTTTTCTTTTGAATGATAGGTATGCCTGTGAAGCTTAGAACATGTGTGCATTGCAATACGACGTTTACAAGTGCTGTTAGCCTGTCCAACCACTTACGCGCTTATGCACGAAAGAAGAGTGCTGGACTTTTGACTGGTACAGGTATGTTTGAACAGATATCACAGCAAGTCTGTTTGATACAATACACTTTTTTTTCCCCACCAAACTGGTGTTAATTCAGATCATATTTATAACTTTCTTTGGTAAGCTGCAGTTGTCTGAATACATTTCTGAATAAATTTCAGCAACTTGTAAACTGTTAGATATAATTCTAAGCACGTTAATCTTTTTCCTTTGGCTCTTGTTGACTTAATTTGGGGAAAAAAAATTAACCCAAGAGATGTGAAATTTTGAGTCTACCTTAATCCCATTTCTTTTTTAGAATTATACTATTTTTGATTTTTAAATTTATTTTAGATTACAGAAAAACACCTCTCTTTATAGTTCTAGTCAGGCACAGTGGTGTGCCTTTATAGTCCCAACTACTCATGAGGCTCGCAGGAGGATCACTTCAGCTCAAGAGTTAGAGGCTGTAATGTGCTGTGATTGTGCCTGTGAATAGCCACTGTACCCTAGCCTGGGCAACATAGCATAAAAAGATTGTAGTTCTAGCTTGGGGAAATCCTTTATTAGAAAAGGAAATTATAGGGAAATTCCAAAATGTAGACTTGATAAGAAACCTAAGCAAACTAATGAATTTTCATTAGTCTGTAGATTAGATCTTTGAAGGGGCAAGCCTTAATAATGGCTTGTATTGACAGGTGAATAGATTTTTAATACCTCTTAAATATATTAAAGATTAATAAATTTAGCTATGCACATAAGTGTTAACATGCAAATTTCTGTGTTATTTTTGGTTGGTTAGCCCAACCTTGCAGATACCTCTTAATGCTGCTCATCTGTGAAAATTTTATTAGCTTACTTATATGTAATATGCTTCTTATAACCTGCAAAATGCTTTGCACTTCATTTGTAGTCTTTTAAGCTATACTGCTTTAGCAAATCTCATTTCCCTCACATCTTAAAATATACCCTCTTTTTGACATAGATCTACATAAATTCTTTTGCCTAAAATTCTCTTTCCAATCTTTTTATTTCTCTTGCTCTTTTTTAGATCACTGCCTCCTGCTTTCTTCTGGTTGTTTCCCCAGTTGTTTTTGTTCTTCCTCATGTACTGTAACTTACATCCAATATGTTCTTGCTGCCAAAAAAAACAAACCACTTATATTTATACTAGTGTCTTTCTTCTGCTTCTTTGCATTCTTCCTTAACTTGATATACAAATGACCATGGATGAATGTTGACCATTTACATTAAAAGGAAAGGAGCGGGGTGAGTTTTAGTCTACTAGATTAGTCCTCCAACTGTGTGATTATAATTTTTATATACCCTCACCTTTATCGGGCTTGGCAGATGATGGCAGGCATTTAAGTTGGGGGACAATGAAAATAAGAGACTGTACAAATGGGAAATCCTTATTGTTACCATACTTGCTAACCTTTATTGAACATTTACTGTGTGTCAGGCACTATGCTATGCAATTTATATGCGTAACATTTAATCTTTACAACAACTATACAAGTTGTAGGTACTGGAATTCTCTTCCATTTTATAGGAAACTAGGACTTAGAGAACTTAATTTACTTAAACTTATACAGTTAGTAAGTAGCAAGGTTGAAATTCAAATCAAGACTATTATTTTACCTAATCTTCATTTTTCATCACTATTCTCTACCTTATACAAGTGGCCTAGTTTTGAATTTATTTTTAAAACAAGAAATTGAAATAAAAATAAGCAATTGAAAATTCTAAAATGAGGGTGGGTTTATTTTTTATTTGTTTTTCTTTTTTTGAGACAGAGTCTCGCTCTTTTGCCCAGGCTGGAGTACAGTGGCATGATCTTGGCCCACTGCAACCTCCACCTCCCTGATTCAAGCAATTTTCCTGCCTAAGCCTCCCAAATAGCTGGGATTACAGGTGCACACCACCACGCCTGGCTAATGTTTTTGTAGTTTTAGTAGAGATGGGGTTTCTCGAACTCCTGACCTCAGGCAAGCCGCCTACCTCGGCCTCCCAAAGTGCTGGGATTACAGGCATGAGCCACTGTACCTGGCCTGAAGGTGGGTTTAATATGGGGAGTATTCTGGTGAAGACTGAATAAATAAGAACCTAATTAGAAAGAGCAGAGATCCAAGAGGTGTTTAGGCCTAGATTAGACTTTAGAAGACTTAATGTTCCTTTCTGATTATTCAAGTAGGTCATGCAAATATCTAACAAGGCAAGATAACTCCAGTCCAGATTTTGTTAGTCCATTAAAAAAATCCTTTTAGTGCATCTGAAAATTCTGCAAAACACAGGGTTAATTACTTATAAGTAGGTAGTAGTAAACCTCCATTTACCAAGAATGCACTTATGAAACATTATCTAAAAAAAATCTTCATTGAGAGAAAAGTAATGTAGGATGAATGGGAGTATATTTAGGTCCTGAAGAATAAAAGAGGGTGTTATTTTAAAAATATGTTTAATTAAGTACTAACCAAAACATTAGAAGTACTAGGAAATAGAAAGTGTGTATTTGGCAGTCCTAGGCAAAGAAAAGGAAAATGAAAAGCTGAAGAAAGTCTAGGGTCATATTTTCCACACTCAGTAGCCACTTTGGAGAAACTTTAAAAACTTATGCTTCTTTTTTTGGAAATTCTGAAACATTTTTCCGTCATTTAAAAAAAACCTTATCAGTAGAGCTGTACAGATGTCTTTGCTGCTTATTTATGCCAACTAAGAAGCTTTCATCAAGCTTTATTAACTTATTTTATTTTCCAAATGGAGAATTCTGTATTATATTTATAAACGCCACATACCTTTTTTTTTTTTTTGAAATGGCGGCTCACTCTGTTGCCAAACTGGAGTGCAGTGGTGTGATCTTGGCTCACTGCAACTTCCGACTCCTTGGTTTAAGTGATTCTTCTGTCTCAGCCTCCTGAGTAGCTAGGGTTACTAGGATGCACCACCATGCCCAGCTAATTTTTTTATTTTTAGTAGAGACAGGGTTTCACCATGTTGGCCAGGTTGGTCTCCACCTCCTAACCTTGTGATCCGCCTGCCTCGGCCTCCCACAATGCTGGAATTACAGGCATGAGCCACCATGCCCAGCCAAACTCCACATACCTATTACCCACCATACCAGTATCACTGTTATAAAGCAGTGGTCCTAATAACCTATGGCCCTAGAAAGTTCCATCTGGTTATTATAAGTGATTAATTAATTCATATGTGTAACAGCCATCATTTTTCAAGAATAGATGATCTTTTAGTGAATAAAATTGCAAATTCATTTTTATAAAATCTTACCTTAGTATATCACAAAATTGGAAGAATGTAAAGGGAAAATAGGAATAAAGTCTCTCTAACCATGTCTAGTATGTGTATTTCTAGTTTCAGCAGTCTTAATTCATGTGGATTTTAAGTTGTGGGTGTACTCTTGAATACAAAGCTGAGACACCCCCAGGCTACATGGTAAAGACCTGCTTTTAGTTACCTGTGATAGAATAAACTTTCAAGCCTTCTTAGAAGCTACCAGCTGCTGGTCTCTTTTGTCAGAACTGGTGATCTTTTGAGGGAAGAAAAATATTCTAACTTACATTTCTTCAGGTATCCTGAATACACTGAAGAGGATATACCTCTTCTTCCCAAAATACGTATTTACTGGTGACTTAAATACTTCTAATATGATGGCTCTCAATCCTTTTTGGGGTCACCAACATCTTTGAGAATTTCTTGAAAGCTATGGGCCCCATCCTAGAAACATGCACTTATTCATTCTCAAATAAACATTTTTCTGTGTATAGGCTTTGCATATCTCCTGAAGGCTGTCATTAATTCATCTGGTGGCAAATTGAGAAAGGAGAGATGCCAAAATAAAAGGAAAGTAAAAATAGAAGTAGGAATCAGAAGCCCTAAGAAGTGTGTTTTTTGTTGTTGTTGTTGTTGTTGTTTTTTGTTTTTGTTTGAGCAGAAAATGCTTAAAATGCAAGAATTGCCTAGTAACAAAACTAATTCTATGGTCATAATGTAAATTAAAAGACATCTTCCCTGATATTTGTAAAAGGAACCAATGGAAGAAATAGGAAAGGTTTAGAATTGAAGATTTGGAAGAGGTAGCCATACTTGGGACAGTTAAATTGTCATAAAAGAATAATTTCACAAATTAAAAGTTTTGCCCAGAACTGTCCCAGTTTATCTTCTGTTGGGTAGGTTCAAATAAATTGTTTAATAATTTTTATGTGTCTTCACTTGTAGATAATTTATGAAACTGTTTTACTCCCCCCCCAATCAATCTTTAAATAGACTAGAATCAAAGGGTTTATTTTATATCCTATATTGTAAATTTAAGGCAGACTTCTTATTTACGAGTTTATTCCAGCTGGGCGCGGTGGCTTGCAGCTGTAATCCCACACTTTTGGAGGTCGGGGTGGGTGGATCACAAGGTCAGGAGTTCAAGAATAGCCTGGCCAAGACAGTGAAACCCTATCTCTACTAAAAATACAAAAATTAGCCGGGCGTGGTGGCAGACACCTGTAATCCCAGCTACTTGGGAGGCTGAGGCAGGAGAATTGCTTGAACCCGGAGGCAGAGGTTGCAATGAGCCGAGATCACACCACTGCATTGTAACCTGGGCAACAGAGCAAGACTCCATCTCAAAAAAAGAGTTTATTCAGGTTATTTATAGACTGCAGTAATGGTAGATTTCTTTTTGAGATTTTGTTATCTTTAATGTTTTTTGTGCTCATACAAATTTTTCTGGTTTTCTATGCAGTGTAATAAGAACATTATATAGTTTTCATTAAATTTTGAAATTGTATAATGTAGCTTATATTACTTTTGGACTTTTACTGATTAGCTTTTTTTTGTGCCTAATGTTTTAATTAAATGTCTTTTTATACTGGCAATATTAAGAACATAGTCTGTTAAGTTATTAATGAAGTGACTATACATACTGGTTTGGCCTTGTTGTCCCACCTAAGTACTAGTGCCTCTTTTACTCTCATACATATCCTAGATTGAATGAGAAGTTAATCATCCTGATTATTAAAATTGCTAAAGCA